CTGAAGAATAACAAAGAATCACACACACACACACACACACACACACACACACACACACACACACACACAGTTGTTTTTGAGACAGGATCTCTCTCACATTGTAGCTCTGGCTGGCCTAGAACTCTCTATGTAGAACAGGTTGGCTTCAGACTCAAAGCCATCCATCTGCCTGCCTCTACTTCTGCCTCCTGAGTGCTGAGATTAAAGGCATATGCCGCCAAGCCCGACAATATACACATTAAAAAAAAAAAAAAGATTTCATCCTTTCCTGGGCCAGAATATAGTCCAGAGTAGAGGTTTTGCTTAGGGTTCATGAAGTGCTAGATCCGGCACCACCAAAAACAAATAACGAACCTGCTGGAACTCTGAAATTGCCATTGCCCTGAATACATGTGGTTTTTTTTTTTGTTTGTTTGTTTTGTTTTGTTTTTTTAAATGAGGTGTTTTGGGTTTTTTTTTTTTTTTGGAACTTTCCAAGTAGATGTATAGAAAACATAATGAGCAAGCTTGCCAATGTCTAGCTTCCCATACAAAACAAAGCAAAGAAACCCAACAAAACCCAAAGCAACAAAGCCCCTCAGGAAGAAGGAGGAGTGAGCTTTGAGGGGATGTTCTGGGTGCTGGGAGGGCCTAGGCGGCCCACACAGGACTGCTGACTCTGCAGGAAGGGACACAGGCCCTGCCCACTCCGGCAGAGAGGAAAACAGAGAGGCCAGGCAGCAAGGCTGGGCATTGGCGAATTCATTTCCCTTCTGACAGGTCAGCGGGCCCTGGTGGGGTCCTGAAAGAGAAAGAAGACGCCATGGGTGCTGGGATTCAGCTGCTTGTTCCCAGCAGCTTAGCAACAGCATGAGGACACAGGTTCCCTGCTGCTTCGCATGGCCTGCCCATCACAGCATTGTGATCCTGGTGGGTGGCAGGCATCTTGGCCCAGAGGTGGGGCTGGAGCACACAGGCTGACAGTCCCCCAGAGCCTACAGCTTGGTGTGTCACGCCGGGTGGTTTCTGCTATGGGGAATCAGTGACCGTGTAATCCTGGTGGCGGCGGGAAGGCACGTTCTGGAGCCCTGTAAAAACAGAGGGGGGAACACAGGGCTTACACACTCTCCCTTCCCAGAGCACCCCAGCCTGATATGGAGGGCTTCCCATTGTCCTTGGCTGCCACAGAAGGTGCACCCACCTGGACTTGGGTCATCTCCAGAAATAACACATGAGCTCTAGTCTCTGAGAGTCCCATAGTCACTAAAGGGACTGGGATGACGAGGGTGGCACCTCCTGCCCCTCAAGGGCTGACCCCACCCTGGGACAGGATCTTCATCAGCCACAAGTTGGCACAAATCGGGGCCTTAAAGCTGTGGAAATACATTCTTTCCCAGCTCTGGGAATAGGAAGCCACAGGGCAGCCTCACCAGGCTGATGGCAAGATGGCACTGTGCTGTAGAGGCTCACAGAGAACCTGCTCTCCTCTTCTAGCCTCTGGTCCCCTGGCAGTTCCTAGCATTCCTCGATTTGGGACTCTGATCTCTGCCTCCAGGTCCCATGGCTCTCTCCATTGTGCTTCCCGACCTCTGAGGAACCTGTGATGACGTCTAGGACTGGCCACTAGTATCATCTCAGACTTTGCCTTTGCCGTGTCTGCCATGTCCCATGCAGTTGACCACAGGTTCCAGGGATGCAGATGTGTGTCTGGGAAACGTCCCCAGCTTCCCCCATGCCTTCGGCACATGTTTTTCCTCCTCTCCAGCCCATAGACTCATGGCTGTGATGGCTCTTTGCTCATGAAGAGACAGGCACAGAGAAGGCACACAGTTTTCTCCCAGTCACACAGCTCAGAGTAAGCCAAGATAAGCTAAAATGGAACCCAGGTCTTTTGCTATTGTGCCTGCTATTCTCACTGGTCATCTCCATCCATCATCCATCCACCATCCATCCATTCACCATCCATCCATCCACCCATCTGTCCATCCATCCACTCACCCATTCCATTCATCCATCATCCATCTATCAACCATCCATCCATCTACTCACCCATTCCATCCATCCATCCACCCATCCATCCATCCATCCATCATCCATCTATCAACCATCCATCCATCCACTCACCCATTCCACCCATCCATCCATCCATCCATCATCTATCTATCAACCATCTACCCATCCATCAACCATCCATCCATCCATCATCCATCTATTTGACACAGTAGCATGGCCTCTAGTGAGCATAGGCTTAGTACTTGGCAAGCAGACCTAGTGGTTGCCTACTCCTGGGCCTGTCCACCCACCAGGGACATAGGACAAGCTTGAGCATGTCACCACCTGTCATTTCTCCCAAGGGAGCCCAGTCATCAGCTAAGCTCAAAATGGGAAAGGCTCCATCTTCCACAGGAGCAGCTCACAGGGTATCCAACCTTGACCTGGATCTAGGAAGCTTCTTGGGCAAGGGGCTTCTGATGTCACTCTTGGGAGAGAAATGAGAGCAGCTGAGAAGTGTGCAGATGAGAAGGTGGTAGCTGGGGTCAGAGTTGTAGCCTGTCTACAGGTCACAGGTCACCCCAGAAGCCAGCCCAGGAGAGGTGTGGGCTGACAGTCAAGAGTCTAGCCTCTTCTTTCCCATCTTCATAGAGGCTCCAGATCATGCAAGGGACCGTCAACTCCTAGGGTTTCAACTTATTGCCTTCACTGGCCCCTCATGATCATGCCAACATCTCTTTGGGTTCCAGTAGTTATCTGTGAGATGGGACATAGGCTTCTGCCTGGCTCTGGCCTCATGGTCCTGTCTCAGCTGCTGAGGGTGGGTTCCTCCCACCCTCTCCCACCCAGGTGCTCAGGTTGAGTCTGGGTGAGTCAGCACGCTGTTCACTTTCCCAGACAGGCATTGCTGGGTGGGGCTCAGGGCCCCCTCACTCCTCCCCCCACACCCCCTCCCATTTCCTTCCCCTCCTCTCAATCCATTAGGATGGAACACGTCCATTCCTGCCCCAGGGCTGTTCCAGGCTTCACAGCCCACGCCCTCCCTCCCTTCAGATCCCCATCTGTGAAAACTTTGCTCCTGCTCCCAGCCTGAAGCACTCTCAGACCGCCCCTCCAGGAAGACATGGCCGCCATCATTCTAGCTCCCCGGGGACCCATTACCAAGGGTCTGGGCATGCTAGCTCAGGCCCAGTCTTGGTACTAGGGTGCACGTGGCCGGCCACGTGGGGTCCTCATCACCTCAACTTCTCCTTTAGTCTCCTGCCAGAACTCCTGTGCTGACATGTGAGAAGGGGGCGTGAGCTGGGCATGTCAGGAGGGTGAGCCGGGTGTGCTCTGCCTGCTGAACTCTGTGTTCCCGTGTTGTTCAATGTGAGATGGGGAAGTACCGGCTCAGCACCTACTAAGCGCCTGGTACAGCTCCTCTGCACACTTGCTGTTCACCTGTCTACACCTGCTCATCCATCTACACCCGCACCAGCCCGCCGGCCAGGAACACTCAGCTCTGAGGGGTGTGGTATCAGGCCACACAAGAGTGGCAACACAGAGATTTAGGCCCCCATCTGTCCATCCCCAAAGTCCAAACCCTGCCTACACATGTAGGGGTGGCCTTTTAGACACACACACACACACACACACACACACACACACACACACACACACACACACACACACCAGGATCAGCTGGAAACCAGCTAAGTGATGCCTCAGAGGGACCACCAGGCAGAACTGCCGGGGAAAGTGCCAGGGAGGATGCAGTGAGAGGAAGCTTGTGTCTTAGTGAACTGGAAATGCCAGCATGTCCAACGGACCACCTGAGGGCAGAGGCTGACTTCCAGTCTGGCTCTTGGGCGAGACTCATGACTTTCATATGTGTATGTGAGTGAGGATATGCATGTGTATATGTTTGTGTGTGTTTAAGTACCTATGCACATATGTGCATAGATGTGGAGACCAAGGGGTGGCATCAAGTGTCTTCCTCAACCACTCTGTCTTATTTTTTGAACCTAGTATTTCCCCAGTGGCCCTGGGAGACCAACCTGAGACCCTAGCAGTGTTCTTTGGGAGGTGTGGAATAAGTTTGTGAAGGAGCTTCAGTCAGGGAGTTGCCCAGGGGTCTCTCTCTCTCTCTCTCTCTCTCTCTCTCTCTCTCTCTCTCTCACACACACACACACCTCACACAGAAAAACTGATCCTGAATCTTGAACTTCTCCTTCACCAATGGCCCCTCATCTGAGTGATCTGACTGAAGCTAAACATTTGCCCTTGCAGATCCAGCCTTTTGCTCAGCCTGTTTGCAGTGAGCTCTTAGGATCTCATTTCTGGAGCTGGTATTGTCATGGTTGGTCTGTGTCCTGTCCATGTTCCTAGCATGCATGCATTGCCCATGCATTGACATGTGCAGGCACACAGGAGCAGGGCTGCAGCCCACACATGTGGGTCAGCTGAGCCTAGGCCCAGCAAACCCAAGGGGAAGTGCTCAGAGTTCCACTACCGGGATTGTAGCGCTGGCGATGTGAGTGTGCAGCGTCCTTTCTGTGAGTGCGCACAAGCCCACTGAGTCAGAGCACAACCTCCCAAGTGTCGTTCCTCGGGTGCCTTCCACCTTTGGTGTGAAACAGGGTCTCTACGGGCCTTGAACGTTGCCAGGTAGCAAACCTGGCTAGCCAGTATGTTCCAGGGGTCTGCCTGTGTCTTCCTCCATCTCAACAAGGCTGCAGCTACAAGCCCATGCCACCACTCCCGGTTCCTACCACTATCTCTGGGGGTTGGATTTGGATCCTCAGGCTTGCAAGGCAAGCACTTTACCCACTAAGCCCTCTCTCAAACCCCATGGGGCTTCTGGTCTGGGGCCCCTGGCTGAGTCTTCCAAGGTCTGACTCTAAGCTAGAGACGACTGAGGGAGGTTGGCATGGAGGGTCGGCAGGACAAGCTTCTGTGGGAAGTCTCTCTGTGGGCACCTGTCCATGGCGATGGCTTCTCCTGTGCCCCACGGGCCTTTCTGAGAATATCACCTTTTGTCTCCACAGGCCTCCCACCCTGAGTGGCAGCCCTGTCATCTCAGATATCTCCTTGATCCGACTTTCTCCACACCCCGCCGGCCCCGGGGAGTCCCCCTTCGGTGCGCACCACCCCTACGTGAACCCCCATATGGAGCACTACCTCCGGTCTGTACACAGCAGCCCCACACTCTCAATGATCTCTGCAGCCAGGGGCCTCAGCCCTGCTGATGGTAAGTGGTGCTGGAGCAGGAGCAGCAGGGACACTGGGTGACTCGGTGGCTCTGTCCACACAGCCAGGCTGTTGTCCATCGTCTTCCAATAACATATAAAATTACGATTCCATCAATGGATGGAGCTATTGATTACGTCAAAGCCCTCATGATCCAGTCATTTCCCCAAAGGACCACCTCTGCACATTGCACTGCGGACCCAAGTTTTCACACATGAGCCACTGAGGGATACCAGACCATAGCAGCCACATCATAGGAACAGACCGCTGCTTGCAACACACCAAAGGCTGCAGAAGCCAGTGTTAAGTAAGGGCTATTGTGTAGGAATATCTCCAGGAACTGAACATCAAAAGGAAGGCAGAGCAGAGCTAGCTGCTGCCCGGATCTCTGTTTTCTGTCTCTGTGCCGATCAACACAGATGGTGTCCTAACCCCCAGGGATCCCCTGGAGCTGAGTTACAGGCAGCTGAGGCCCCAACCCCCAGGGACAGACCAGTGACTTTGTGTCAGCTCAGAGGCTTAGAAGGGACCAACCCACTGGATCAGGTTGATTTGAACCAGAAGTGAGCCGTCGTGTAATATAGTGACTCTCTCAGATCTAAATTCTATCCTGGGGGCTGAAGAGGCAGCTCAGTTGGCAAGTCTGAGTTCAATCATCCAGAACCCAAGTTTTTAAAAAAAGAAAAGAAACAAAAAGTAGGGCCCAGTGGCAATCCATTGGACTCCCAGCCCTGGGGGAACAGAGACTGAGGTCCTCTTGCTGGCCAGTCTAGCAGAATCAGTGAGGTCCAGGTTCAGTGAGAGACCCTGCCTCCAAAAGACAGCAGAGAGCAGCTGAGGAAGATATTTCCCCGTTGAGACTCCAGGCCAGGGGTGCATTTCTTTTTACTTCCTCAAACAGTAAATTCTGCTTTTCTAGATTTTATTTATATATTTTCATTCCATGTGTGTGTGCATGCATGTTTGCATAGGTTCCTCCAGAGGCCTGAAGAGAGTATTAGATCTCCTGGAGCTGGAGTGACGGGTAGCTGTGAGCCACTCACCATGTGTGCTGGGGACTGAACTCAGGCCCTCGGCAACAGCAGTGTGTATGCCTAACTGCCGAGCCCTCCCTTGGACAGTAAATTCTGACGGTTTCTCTCTCTTCCCTTCTGTGGCAGTGGCCCACGAGCATCTGAAAGAGAGAGGGCTCTTTGGTCTTGCTGCCCCGGCTGCCAACCCTTCAGACTATTACCACCAGATGACCCTCATGGCAAGCCACCCTACACCTTATGGGGACCTGCTAATGCAGAGTGGAGGTGCCGCCAGCGCACCCCATCTCCATGACTACCTCAATCCTGTGGATGGTGAGTCGCCGAGGGAGCACGGAGGGGAAATGGTGTGGGGCGAGGGTGACTGGCTGGCTGGCACAAAAAGCAGTCACTCAGTCCCTCTGGAGGCAAGAGACACAAGTGGAAGTCCACACTGCACCCCAACACTGTCGACGCTGCTGCCATGGGGGCTGAGGCTGGGTGGCCAAGAGCCCTGTGGTCATCGCAAAGAATAGAACGTACTCGCTTAACTTTGGGAAGAATCTGTAGTGGCAGCTGCAGACACCGCCCAGCATCGGGAATTGGTAAACTGAGATGGGATAGGGTAAACAAACTAGGGGTGGAGGCGCATCCTGGGGTGATGGGATGCAACTCTGAGAAAGAGTCGGGGAGACAAAGGTGTCCCTCACTAGCTGTGCAGGGGATGCTAATCAAGCACAGAGCTGAAGAGGCGAGTCCACCCACTAGCTCAGGGAAGAGCTGTCCCAGCAGAGGATCAGCCTGATGCAAAGGGCCTGAGCCGTGCTCCTGCTGGGCTCAGGAGACCAGTGTGGTGGGTAGAAATCAAGCAAAAGGCGGGAATGGTGCTGAGGCCAGTGTTCTGGGGTGGGCCGTGCCACCCAGCTGGGGCTTGCTAAAGGCTTTGCTGGAGTGAAATGGGGCTGTGGAGTCATGCTGATCTGAGAACTGAGTCGGGGCAGGCAGCAGTAGACCCCGTCCATCCGTGAGCCATAGGTGAGTTCCATTCAGGGGGATTACTGGCTAGAGATGTAAGATGCGTTCCCATCTCGAACATGGACGTGCAGGGAAAGAGGAGCGCAACACTTACGTTCCTTCTTGCCTCTGCTGTGACCGAATATTGGACGCCTCACACCCCCACCCCTAGTAAAAAAAAAAAAAAAAAAAAACTAACAGAGGCGCCGTATGAAGGAAGATTTGTTGCGGCTCACACTTCAGTCACGGTGGGGAAGGCGTGGTGGCAGGAGCGCGAGGCAGCAGGGCATGTCACATCCAGTCAAGAAGCAGAGACACGCCATCTTCTCCTGTGTTCAGTCTGGACCCCAGCCCACAGCATGGTGTGGCTCACAGTCAGGGTGGGTCTTCTCACCTCGGTCGGCACGATCCAGAAAATCCTCCACACACGTGTCTCCTGGATGGTTCCGTACCTTTCCGAGTTGACAACAGTTATAAACCATCCTAAAGAGCCAAGGTCAATGCCAGGTCTAGGATGGGCTGTCGGTGACAAGACGGGGCATGTGCTGGGTGGGAGGTCGGGAGTCTTGGACAGATGAGGTCTGGGGTGCACAGCAGACACCACGTCCTTCCTTCTCACCGGAAGCCACCCCTGTGGCTGCTCTCACAGAGTGACGTAGCCCCCTGACCATGAGCCCCAGGGTCGGCATGCAGCCCCTGCCCGTGGGAAAGACACCGAAGCTCAGTACCGTTGTCCCCTCCGTCCAGACTCCGTTCCACCTAGCAACCCTAGAGCTATGCAAGGACGCAGGGCTGCAAGCTAAGCAGAGTGGAAACCGTCAGGAACTAGGCTGGTGGCGCCTCCAGGCGCCTCTCCTCTCACCCTGCCAGGAGCAGCTTCTTCATGCCACAGTGGCACGTGGTGGGGGAGACAGACCTGCCACAGAGAGGCCATCTGGTCCTGCAGGGCAGCAGGTTGGAAACGGGCTGTGGCAGCTGTTTAGAGGCCGCCGAGGCTGCGAGATTCAGGGTGGGCCCGTAGCATCCAGGCCTCCACTCACACCCTAGGCTCCACTCCTGGGCTCCCGGCCACATCCACCGCTGCAGCTCTGCTCGGTGGCCTTCTCCACTTGTCCAGTTGAGCTATCTCTTTACAGAGGTGGGACTGAAAGTGTTCCTTCTCCAGGAAGTCTGTCCAGACGCTTCCTGCCTCCTCTGGTTTGTCCTGCCTCTCTGAGACTTAAAGACACCCCGCTCCCCACCGCCACCACACATGCAAGGTCAAGTTTCTGTCCATGCCTGCCGTTCCCTGATGGGAGGCTGCTGAGTGCCAAAGTAATGCTGCCAACATTCAGTCTAGTGTCTGTCCCACCCTTCAGTGCCTTCCCCAAGAAGGTGTTGGGTCCAAGATTCAGCACAGTGTAGGACATCTGTGGGGCTCCTTTCCCATCCTTTCCCACAGAAGGGATTGGGGTCAGGGATTAGGGAGGGTGCATCTGGGACACAGTGTTTTCCAGTGTTGCAAACCCAGCCACAGCAGCAGGAGGAAGGAGGGAGGTGCTGAGGTCAAGCGCAGAGTCATGCCCACATGCCAGCTTCTGCCGCTCTGGGCAGCCTCCCTCCAAGGGCTAGCGCAGAAACATGGACATCACTGGCAAGTGGACAGATGCATTGATGCCGTGGCAAGGGGACCAAGTTGAGCAGGTGTGCCCACACAGCAGGAGAGGCAGAACTGGGCAGCGAGGCGTCACACTGTGGCTGCGCTCCTGAGCGCCTGCTGGGGTGTGCACCTCCATGCACTGCCATGCATGCAACGGACAGAGAAATAACAGTGTTTCTCCTGCGGCTAGAGTTAGGACCTTGCTTAGGATGAGCAAACACGTCCTCTAGGTGGAGTTCTAAGCCTAGCTCTCTGAGCTGGGTCACAATGCCCCCTTGCCAGTTCCTGAGCTCTCTCCTTGAGAGAAGGCAGCTGGGCAGCTGGGTTTGGAGTCAGCACAGAGCAGCAGGGCAGGAGGCAGAAGGGAGCCAGCACTGATACCTTGGGACCTAGCGAGGAGGCAGCAGGGGGGACCCGGGTCAGCCTCTGCTGTCCCCACCTTCTCTGGGATAGCTAGGTCTAGAGATATCAGTAAGTGGGACACGATGTTTATATGCCAAGTGGATGAAGCTAACTGAGGAGTACGCAGTAAATGCAGAATAAAGGTAAATGTGGTCTACTGGCTGGCATCCACTGGGTGCTCAATTAATGCTAGGCGTGACCTCTGACTACCAGTATCCCTTTACCTCCTTCCAATCCACCCTCATCTCCAGGAGTCCACCTCTTAGCTGTCATCACCCCCTTCCACGTGGAGTATCTACCCGGGTCATAGGCCACTCTGGGCATCATGTCCTCATCACCTCCCAAGTGTGCTCGGTGTGGCTTGTCCCCTCTCCCCACAGCACTGTACTTACCAGAGTTATCAGGGCCAGAGTTACCCCGGCAGCAATAACAAGCCCAGCTCAGCAGTCCGTCCTCAATAGGCCAACTAAACAGATTAGTAATAGTGAAATAGAGAAGGATCTGTTCACTGTGGCCACACTGGGAAGAGGAACAAAGAGGACCAGTGAACACACACACACACACACACACACACACACACACACACACACACACACACACACCTTCCATCTGCAGGGTTTAAATAAGAAGTTTAAGTTTAAATGGAGGGTGAGAGGTATAGATAGCTAAGCGGTCCTGGTCAACGTGGGATCTATCCATTAAACATTCCCTGCAAGATGTTCTGACAAGTTGTCAGAACTGTGCGAACTCTTTCTGGGAGACAAGCTCACCCTCAGGCTGGACCCAGGTTTCAGCCCTTCCCTTCTTCCAGTGTGAGCTTCCTGGGGAAATTCCACTTCTTTGGAGTCTATTGTCCGACAGCCGTGGGACCCGACACAAGTGTCTCTTGAGGGAGTCTTCTTTCCTGCAACCTCAATGCTGCCTCCCAGAGCAGGTCCCCTGGTGCCCCCTGCTCTGCTTGTCCGTGGTGGCATGCCAGAGGGCTTGCGAGCTGTGCACCTCCAAAGTCATCCCAGGCACCAAGCCCTGGGTGCCTGAGGCACCAGGGGAGCGCCAGGCACCCAACTCTAGCTGACCGGGATGTCTTTCACATAAGACGGCCAGCCTTGCTGCTGGACCGGGTGGCTCACAGCCTGTAAGACCTGCTGAGTCAGCAGAGCGGCCGGCGCAGGAGACCTGGGAGAGACCACTGATGACTGGAGTGGGCAGGGGAGCTGGGGCCGGCTGTGGGTGGCTTAGAAGGGGTTGCAGACACTATGCACTCCAGGACATCCAGCACTGGCTGCGTCTGGGGCCTGGGCATGTCTAAGAAACAGGATGATCGGGGCTGGAGGAGCTCACGGGCTGGGAGCACCCACCTCCAAGGGCACCAGCCCTTGCTGTAGCTTACCACAGCCACCCACCTCTCCACTGCCGTGTTAAGGTCCTGAGCAGGATTGGAATGGCAGGTAGTAGCTGGGGAGGGTTGGGGGACAGAGTATGAACAGCCAGCTACTTCTTTCTCTTGGTTCCTGATCTGTCACAACCCAAGAAAACCATACCAATCCGTAAGGATGTTCTGGTTTTCCTGATCATCTTACTCAGTTGGGAGTTTCCAAGCAGATTCACTCTTTATTTTTCACTCAGGTTGGAACCTAGGGCCTCGCACATGCTAAATGCCAACCCCACCACTGAGCTAGGCTTAGACTTTTCTTTCCTTTTTTTCTTCAATTTTGTATTTTGCTTATTTGTTGTGTATGCGTGAGCATGCATGCCACAGTGCTCATATGGGAATTGGTTTTCTCGTCACATCGTGTGGGACTGAGGGATGGAACTCTAGTCATCAGACTTGGCAGCAAGCACCTCCAGCTGATGCACCATCTCAGATCTACTTCAGCCCTTTCCAAACTAGTGGGAGGCAGAGCTTCAATCTTTGCTTCAGATTTTTATAGTATATGGGACATTTCCACTCAGCTTAGTACCTATACAGATAATCTGCTGTGTTTCTGAGAGATGCTAGATAAGCCCCGCCCCACCCAACCTGGACCATGGCATCCCCCAACTCCATCCTCCTCCCCTCAAGCGGACCTTGTGAGCCAGGGCAGTTAGATCTTTTTGACCAAGTTCCTTTGTGCCCAGTGTTCCTGCAGAAGAAATGACGCACGCTCGCGCGAGCGCGCACACACACACACACACAAACACACACACACACACACACACACACTCACACACACACACACACACACGCCCGCGCAGTCAGAGGCTGTTTGCTCAGCATGCCTCCTGGGTAGGTTTCTCTACTGCTATGATAAAGTACTGATCAAAACCAACCTGTTGGAGAAAGGGTTTATTTCATCTTAGAACTTCCAGTCACCGAAGGAAGCCAGGGTAGGAGCTCAAGGCAGCAATCTGGAGGCAAGAACCGAAGCAGAGACCATGGCAGACACTGCTCACTGGCTTGTTCCCCTTGGCTTGCTCAGTTTGA